AAGAAATAGGAGATTTTAGATAAACATGGTATGTGAAGTGTATTTTCATTATGACACTCAGATAGCATTAAGTGCAATTAGTGGTCTTTAGATTTTATTGGCAGTAGGATATAAGAAAAGTAGATCATTATTATTTTAAATAAGACCATAAACATGACTAGTTTGGGGATCGATTTAAAATATGCATTCAAAATATATTTGTAGACCTTTACTTATATTATCAGAAGCATGATTAGTGTTGAAATACCTCAGCATCCAAGAATAGTTATGGTTTGCACTGATTACTGGTTTTTAAATGAACATAATGGTAGATCATGACCAAACCCAAACTGTACAATTCAAGCTCAGTAGTACTGATGTTTTTCATAAGCTCCACTCACTTGCTATTGGGAACAGTAGACATTTTGGTATTCTTATAAGGTGCAGATATCCTGATATATTTTTGTTAGAAGGGGAACAGAACCTCCATAGATTGCAACAGGGATTATGATGTGAGAACAATTAAAAGACACACATTAAGAGTAGGTTTATATAAAGTAATTAATGTAAATAAATTGATTAGGTAACATTTAGAATTGGTGTAAATTTAATGTTAAGAGGAACTCAAAGTCCATTCATAAGAGGATGGACTTTACTGAAGTGAGTGAGAGAAGCAAGATCAGCCTCTTAGCTGAAATGACTGCATGTTTATTTCTCTATGGAACACATGAATTTTACTGATACTTGATTATATAAACAGCTGATCTAAATGCTTGTCTATATCATCTGCCCAGCCACCTAGTCTGTGCCTAACTATACTCACAATGGATATCAAAAACCCTCAGGAATTTAAAAGCTCCAAATGTGACTTAATTAACAGGTGGCCAGGAATAATCAAGTTCTATTTTAAGCATTCTAACAGGTGAAATCATGTCACATAAAAGAAGTCACTCTATTAAGAAAATGCCTATTTTACAATGTATCATAGTTTACTACTGTGATTAAAAATTGGGCATGACTCCTCATGATAAATAATCCTGGAACAATTGTTCAAGACAGTAAGTGATTCCAAATCCAGAAACTATGCAATGATTCAAAAACATTCCTTGGCCTTTCAACAATATATTAAAGGAGGGAAATTGATTGTATTTCTTTAGTTACATATAACTGCTTAATGACAAGTCATTACACATGAAAATGAAGTATATTAATGACAATGTTTTTTGAGTGTTCATTAACACTAGAAAGTTATCCTGGATCAAAGCAGACTATTAATCATATTTTTAAACAATGCTACCTGTGACTCTGACTATTCCAGAAACCAATGTCACATTAGAAGGACATGAAACCACTTTCAGCTATTTCTGAATAAATCCACCAGTAAACAAGCCCTTTTAGCCTATCTTCTACTTTGACAGATTGTCCAAGAAACAAATTTGGTCAATAAAAACAAAATGTTCTCTTTAAAAGTTAAAAAAGTCACAGCTGACAAACACAATGTAACTTCTAAACAACTCCTTAGTTTCATGTCCTGTCTCTCTCCTCCTCCCACAGATCCAGCTTGCAAGATGCTGACCAGTAATGAGATACACCACACATCCATCACACCCACTGTCTCAGGGGGAGGTGAGAGCACACAGGCTCTCTGGCAAGACTGTGTTCAAACTATGGGTATAAAACTCAAGAGGAAGGCAGCGATATATATGATGAGAATTTATCATTCCTAATACAGCTCCTGGCTTCTACCCTGCCATAAGTAGGCTGAAGGAGTACTAAAACAGTGAACACCAACAACAGCCGGGTACAGATTGTTCCCTGGAAGGAAAGCAGTCAAACACACAGTAGTTTCATAGGAATATGTTACAACTGTTACACAGCAGCTTATGAGAAAGCTTGAAAGCTGTTGGAAGGGGTCTTGTGCTACTGCTCCCACAGGAAGCAGTGATTATGGTGCCACTGGTCTACTTCACTACCATGTGTTCTACACTTCTAACTCTTCTTTTGCCACTCAACATTAAATTTAAACCAACTCTGAAGGTTACCCAAACAATTTATTTATATAAATTATTTTCTATAAGCCTACTCTTAATGTACTGGGAGTCTCCTTTAATCATTCTCACTTCATATTTCCTGCAATCTACAATGCTGTGGTTGTGCAATTTCCCCCTCCAACATAAAATATATCATGATATCCAACCTTATGTATACAACAAAATTTCTACCAATAGCAAGTAGATTGTACATTCTCAAACCCAGATGCAAAATTGAAAGGGACAAGATAATAAATATTGCAAAGAACATAAAAGAAAAAAAATCATGAGTGCAATTAGTGTACAATAAGAATTTACTCCACATTTTCCATTTATTTAAACTGTTTATATAAGAGTCCTAACTCTATAGCTTAGCATGAAGGACACAAGAGTAGCAAAGGGAAAGTGGAATTGTATGAGATAACTTCTTTAAATTCAGAAGATTAGTTATCATATAAACATATCTATAAACATGGTCAAGATTACCGAGCTTGAATACATGAAGTGAGATATTCAGATTATGCAGCTTCAATGGCCTAAGAAACTTCCAAGGATAGTTCCAAGGAAAACATTGTCATTGGCCTCATTTATCTTAGTAGAGAGCCAGAACTAAGATGTCGTTGCCTTTTTCAAGCCAAATGAACTGATATAAATGGGAAAACAGAATGTGATTATGGTAGGCAGAATTTTAAAACAAAACTGAGTAATTCTTATTTAAAATTATTTTGACTGGGTATTTTTATTTTAAATTAAAAATATAGTAGAAGCTAAAGTCTTGGGAGCTTGAACCCACCTCAGTTTCTGTTTCCTTGAGTGACACGATCGAATTATAAACACAAGAAGTAGTTTTACAATGTCTACCATTAAGACAACTCTATTTATTGTATTTTAATAGAAAAAGGTTACTGCTGACTCAGGTTTTATTTAATGTACTTAAACTTAGCCCTGTGATATTTTGCAACTAGAAGCATTGCAGTCATGCCAAAGCACAAATAGGAACTAGAAAATGCAACCCATTAAAAAAACGAACAACCTGAAACCAATTCATTAAGTAACTGGCAAAGAGAAACAGCAAAGCAAACAAACCACATCCATGGTGAAAATGCACAAAAATCTTAAATATTAAATTGGCATATATTTTAGTCATCTGAGGTATATAAGCAACACAGATAAGGGTTTTTTAAGAATATATTACTTTAATTTTGTCCCTTGAATGATAAATTTACAGTGAAAATGACATGTCCACCATAATTTTGAAATACAATGTAGTTACCACTGCTTTCCTGAAAATGCCTTTCCATTATATTTGCTTGTGGCAGAGGAGTAAATTTGACAAAAATAAATTCTTATGCACATCCACCCTTAGGGGATTCATAGTAAAATGACACATTTAAAATTAAATAAATGTTGATAAAAATTCTGTAAAATAAACATTCCTCTTGGATCTCCTCATATAAGATTTTCCTCAGCATAATGTTTTGTACACCCCTTTAAAAAACCCAAAGAAATGCACCAAACTAAAAAATAAACTTAAAAACTGAAGAAACAGGACCTGTTTATTGAGAATGAGGCAAAAGGATACAGTTGACATTGGCCTGATATTTTACCTCTTGCTGATTGGGATAATAATTTTCTCAGAGTTCAATATCGATGTCAATCCACCCCTAGAACTTTGAGGCCACTTGTGTTGGGAAGAGCAGACGCAGCAAATATACACATGGCACCTGTGCCAACTTCTGGAGCATTTGTTGATCCTCTGAGGCCCCTCTCCCTCTGAGGCCCCTCTCCCTAAGGCTGTCAAAGATGCTTGTGTCTACTCCTCCAATACTTGCCATGGACAGCTCAAGTAGAGACGGTTTTATTTAATTTGGAAGAGGAAAAATTTGCTCTGCCATCTCACTGTGCTCCCACAATGTGTACTCAAGCATTAGTGGACAAATATATAAAAAAAAAATATCAGATAAAAACACCCGAAATATGGAAATGCAAAGAAAGTATATATTTTAGGGTATGGTCAGAGAAGATATTCAAAGCCTACACTGTTGCTTCTAGAAATGTCAGGACAATTCAGAAATGTCAGTTCCTTTACCGGTTTCCAGATTGTAATTGAAGGATCATGTAGCTCTCTCACTCTTTCTCTCTCTTTCTCTCTCTCTAAATAGGTCTATAAAGATCAGCTGGAAAGTGTAGACAGAAATTGTTCACTGGTTAGCTTTACTTAGAGCTACAGGGTATATATGTGCTTTGTTTTGTCTTATTGATCAATCTAGCTTACATTTTTAGCACACACAAACAAAAATCAGGAAAAATAAAAAGTTGATGAAAAACACGAACAACACAAATAAGGTTCCAATCGTGCAAATTTTGCTTCACTGGATAAAGCACTTCTTGACACAGTAATGTCCAGAAACCCCCTCCCCCAGAAAAATACAGGACTGAGACTGAAGCCATTCTTTTTTTTTTCCTTTTTTTTTCTTTTCTTTTTTTTTTTTTTTTTTTTCCTTAAGGCTATACAACACAAAGAAATAAAGCATGGAAGAACACCTCATTGGGCTGAACAATCCATTCTTCTGGCTCTGGAGTGAGCCTTTGACAAAGTGATTCTGTGGTCCGAGTTATTTGTTTCATTGGGACAACAACAAGACAAAGAAAAAGAGGAAAAATGAAAGAGAGGAAAAAATAAAAATAAGAAAGTCAATGATCCCAACAATAAAATCCAAAATTGACTTTACAATCACAGGTACAAATTGCTCAGGTTGATAATTTCATTTCTCCTAAAGATCACTGTCGTCTAAAACTAATTAGAGGCGCAGGTTCCAAGGAATTGTCAATATTCAAAGCAAATGTTGGAGTTTAGAAGGTTATCATTCTTCTACTGTGACAGTCTGACGGGGTGACTGAAAATATTGTCATGTGCTGCCAAGTTCAGGGTGTCATTAACAATTGAATCCTTGCTCCGGCTCATGGATCTGTCTCCTATTTGGCCTTCTTTTATAGTGGAAAGACTAAGAAGCCGGAAAAGGTTGAATATTTCCACCCTCCCATGAGGTTACCCCTTTCCAGTTTGAGATGCACTTTGTCTTCTCTTTCCATGAGGAGCAAGACCCCATTGCTGGCTGCTTCTCTGGTGACGTCCTGATCCCCTGCAAAAGCTGAAATCACTGGGTAGCCGTTTTGCATTAAACTTACCTAAAAAGTGCAAAGAGACAGAATCTGAGTTTTCTCAATACTCTCAATGATTTTTTTGCCCTGTGCATATCACTAAACTTTTGTACAGGTCAGAATGTAGGTTGAATTAAGCTAAGGAAATAGGCAATGAGTGATTTCATGTATACAGACCACTTTAAAAATAACCCACAATCTCATTCTTCAACTTCTGAGGGTTTTTTTAAATATGAGTCAAGAAATGAGCATTTGAAGGAAAAAAAAAAAAAGAAAAGAAAAAAGAAAATGAAGGACAGCATCTTCTTTTGATTAGAACCCACCTGGATGGTTTGTCTGTTATAGACCTTGACCACGTGGAAACTGAAACTATATATCCCTTTTCTTGGTGCTACAAATATACTGGAAGTAAGATCAAAATGGTTGCCAATATTAACTAATACCTGGAATGTAAACAAATAAAACAGAACAAAGAAAAGGAGAGAGAGAAAGAGAGAAATCAGACTCCACCTTAGAGAAGCACCAGCAAAAATCTGACATGAGCTCAATGACCAACATAAAGCATAGTCAAAATGGCATTTGCAGCACAATTAAAAGTGCATGGCAGGCGAATGGAGTCAAGCTACAGAGGCATTTAAAAGGCAACAGAGTTAATAAAGCAATTTAGTTACACAAAAATGATCTCCAAAGCCTGTGAGATGAAGTGCAAATGTCCACACTGAGCTGTCAATAAAGCAAAGGTGGCAGAAGGAGGAGGGGGAGGAGTGTGAAATGGAGGGAAGGAGGGAGGGAAAAAAAGGTAGGAAGAAATACCAAAAGTCATTAGCTCATAATGGAAACGCATGTTTTTCAGATAGCACTACTGAAATCAGAGCTGGCCTCGAGTTTAACAGGGTATAGAACTAAAACTGCACTACAGAGAGGGGCAAAGGAGGAAAGAGGATGCTCAGCAACAGCAACATCTGCCAGCTCATGTCTATCTGTCCCTCTGGAGGGCTGTGCCACTTGGCCCACACGCTCCTCAGGAGTCTGGGGTGAGCATGCTCCCCCTTCCCGGCAATAACCTTAATTTTTCATATATTTCAATGTTTTTTTTGAAACAAAACAAAACAAAACAAAACAAAAAGACAGGAAGAGTTGAGCACTCCAGCAGATGTGCAAAGATGTTCGGAAGCGGCGGCCGCACCCGCCAATCCCGCCCATCTGACAGGGACCTGGCCTCGGCTCGTCCTCTGGCGCCTTGTCCAGGCTCCTGTGACGGGGAGCAGGGTTTGGCTCACAAGGCACGGGCGGCGGGCACGAGAGAACCTGCGGGTCGATGGCGATGCCGTCCGGCGGGCGGGTGCGCCCGAGCCGGCTGCTCCGCCGTGCCCACCTCGGGGCACGCCCGTCACGCTCAGTTTGCGGGCTAAAACAATCACCATCACCCCCACCCCCAAATCCCAAGCCTTTCCTCCCAAACAGCCAAAATCTATAGTTCCCCCCAAAAAAGGAACAAAAAAATGGTTTAAAAAAACCTTGTCGCGGGAGCACCGAGAAAACGCCTTCAAACTCCTAGGAACTGCACATTGCCGGGTAAAGCATCTAAAATATGCTATATATTTAGCAAGTTGGGGGGGTTAATTTTTTGTTGTTTTGGGTTTTTATTCTACTGATCTAATTTTATGAGATCTTGTATGCGAAGAATGGCTGTGTAAACTCATTAGGAAGGACAGGTAGACAGATAAATGACAACCAGACAGGTAAAAAAGCCAAACAAATAACCCAAAAAAACCAACAAACAAACAAGCCCAGATTCTCTGGTATGCTAATTTTGGCTGACTCTGCAATGCTACTTCAGAAGTCAGAAGCGGTAGGAAAAAGGAAATTTCACCGCAAAAATAAAGTGGATGGACGGGGTTTGGTCTCCGGGAGGGGAGCGGCGCGACGAGGCAGGGGCAGAACGAGCAGAGCAGGCTCTTCGCTGCTCTGCCCGGCGTATGCAGTGCGGGATAACACCATTCCGATACAGCCCGCCGGGGACACCGTTTGCCTCGTCTGATAACGCGGGAAACACCCTCTTCTTCCTCATCCCCCCCTCCCTCTGAGAGATGCTGTGACATTGCCAAATGCGCTCCGATCAGGCAGATCCGGCGACTCCTCATCGGTACCTCCCTGAATTTGCACCGAAGGAGGGATGCGCACCCTTCCCCCGGGTCGTTCCTGGCTGGCCGAGGCAATCCTTGGCTGCAAGGCGCCCCCGCACGCGTCCGAGGCACAGACCTTCACGTTAAAGCTCTTTCCGTACTAGCGATTGTGACCGGACAAGAAGTCAGCGTGTTCACCCCCGGTACCACCCTAGAAAAGCCCTGCAGCTGCCTAAAAGAACTTTCCAAAGTCTTTCTGGGCCGTTGAGACGTGAAGATGCTATTGAGCGGGTGGGTCGGGATTAGAAGATGGAACGGGAACCAGGAGGAGAACACGCGTGCAGCCAGGGGGAGGCAGGGGCGGGGGATGCCCGCGCAGGGCGCGGGGAAAAGGGGTAGCGAAGGCGAAGCAGGCGGCGCCTGACCTGGTCGAAGTAGATGGTCATGGTGCGGTTGCTCATCTCGGAGGGCTCGTGGTTGGTGCTGCGGGTGGCCGAGAAGGCCACCTTGGCGCTGCCCGAGCGCACCGAGATCCCCAGGGAGGAGGTGATGGCGCCGTCGGCCGAGGGGCTGGAGTCGCAGACCACCAGGCACTTCCCCTCCAGGACGATGGGCTCCGTGTCGTTCTGCGCCCGCACCGGGCACCCGGCGGGCAGCAGCAGCAGCAGCAGCGGCACGCGCCTGCTGCCGCCGAGGCGCCCTGCGGCCAGCGCTCCGCGGGACGGCGGCTGGGCAGCGGCGGCTGCGGCCGCGCCTTCCTCCCCTTCTTCTCCTCCTCCGCCTCCTCCTCTGCGCGGGGCGAAGGAGCTTCTCAGAGGGCGGGCGGCACGCAGCAGCCTGCCAAGGGGAAAGGCGGCGGTGAAGCACAGCGGCGGGCAGGCGGGAGCCGGCACCGCGCCGCCCGGCGGGCTGCCCCTCCCCGCCCCCGGCGCCCCAGCGAGTACAACAGGTCTGGGAGACACCTGGCTGCCCGGTGTTCCCTCTTTCTCCGGTTCCCCAGCAGCCTGCCGTACTCCGAGCGGGGAGGAGGGGGCAGCGCTTCATCCCCAAACACCCGGCGGAGCATCCTGCGTGTGCCTCGGACAGTCCCTTTCCTGCCCCACAACCAATGGGGTCTCCAAAACCCGGCTCCACTTCTTCCCACAGACCCACTATTAACTACATCTGGGACCCTGGTTTGTATCCGTCTCCTAACGCCCCAGACACCTCGGAAGGAGGTTTTATTCTTGCTACAAGCATCCCCTCGATGGAGCTGCCCCGCTATCTGTAGAGTTCCCTGGCGACCGGGGTGCACCGAATTCCGCGCTCCGGCCCCGGCCGGGCTCTGGAAGCCGCCGTCGCCCTTTCTCCGCCTGGGGGCTGCCGCGCTCGGGCACCGATTTGTACTTCCCAACCTTCTGTGCCCCAGGCCAGGCTACCGCCACTGCTGCCGACCCCGGCGACTCCCTAAACTCCCGAGAAGGAGGCAGCTGGCTCAGATATCCCCCAGTTCCCACCCAGGCATGTACACATATCGCAGGAGTCAAATCCTCACCCAGCTTCTCCCTCTGAAGTTGCATCTCAGTTTTTCCCGTTTACCAGAACGCCCGGTGATCTCGCTCCTGGGAGATCGCCCCTACACTTCCCCAGAGGCATCTCTACAGTTGCCCCAACCCCGCACCTTACTCTTGCTATCATTTAAAACGATATTTTGCAAAAAGAACAGCCGGCGGGGAGGAGAGCGGCTTTTTTACCTGGGAGGTCCATGACGGGAGAGGCGGGTTGGCTAGATAGCTCGTCCGTGAACTTGTACAGCTTAGAGAAAATGAGCCGAGATTGCGCTGGCAGAAAGAAAAGGAAACAGGAGTCGCCTCTTTCTCTCCCGCCCATTGCCAATAATCATCCCCCTCCCGCCAGCCGCTACCACCACCACCCCTCTTCCTCCCTCCTCCCCTCTTCTCCGGCACACACTCACACACACACACGCACAGGCACCCGGCAGGGATTCAGACACCGGGACCAGAGCGGAGTGCTGCCACAGCACCGCCGGCGATGCTGCACCCCAGTCCTTGCCCCGGCCAGGCACCCCTGCGCCTTGGAGCCGCACCCCGACACATCGCGAGCAGCAGCGACAAGCCGCGATGTTCCCACTGGGACGGCCTCTCCGGTGTCACCGGAGGCAGGGAAGAGCCGTGCCACCTCGCCCCCCTCCCCCTCGCCATTATTTCTACTTGAACCCGTCGTGCTAAGACGCCCCTGTTCCAACATGCCACCGACACATTAGTGCTCACTGGCCGCCGCTGCGGCCGAACCACGCAGCACCACTCACTGGGAGCTCTTTGGAATTCACAGACTTTGATTCTGAAAACAATAATCACTGAAAAAGACGTATTCTTCGGGGCACTTCGGGCCGTAAGGCTGCGCCCCGCACACAGCAAGGCCCCATTCCCACGCCAGGACCCGCACACCTCGGCGCCCAAAGTTCGGCGGCGGCTGCCCCTTTATTAATGTATTTCTTCCCCGGGGCGTCCTGATTCCCGGCCCGTTCGCAGACCAGCTCCCGAACCGTGACCCGCTCCTTGACCCGCTTCAGTACTCTGGGACTTGCTCCCCGACCCCCTTCGGAACCGAACCCGTTCCCAAGCCCGCTCCCGTTCCGGGGCTAGCTCCCGGCCCCGGTTCCCGGTCCCTCTCCCGGCCCCGGCTCCAGGTCCCTCTCCCAGCTCCGCTCCCGCTCCCGGTCCCACCCGCGGCTCCGCTCCAAGCGCGGTCGCGAGGCGCCACCTGGCGGCGACGGCGCGAGGCGGGCCGCGGGGCTGCCGGGGCTGCGAGGGACGGAGGGAGCGGGGAGGGACAGAAGGAGCAGGGAGGGACAGAAGGAGCGGGGAGGGGGACCGGGAGCTCCCGGCAGGGGAGGAAGGAGGGAAATTCCCAAAGGGCAGAACGCTCGGCTGAGGAGCTGAGTGGCCGCCTCCTCTCGCTGCCTGCAGGGCCTGGATGAGCTGGGCTTGTAGGTCGCCCCTGCCTTGCGGTGGGAGCGGTAGCGACGGTGTCTGTCACAGCCAAGGTTATCATCAGATGTTGCTGGCTGCAAATGTTTCATGCTCCTCAGCTCATGGGCTGCTGCTGAGAGGTTATCAGCAGTGCGAGGGAGGGTAAGGCAGAGCTCTGGCAATGCAGTTTTGAGAATAACCATTGCATTTTGATGCATTTCTCTCAATTGTAAGATGGATTTTTCATTGCATATGGGGTTTTCCTAGCGATCTGGAAACTTAGACTTCAGCATCTGGAAGGAACTTATCAAAAAACTGTGTTTACATCTAAGTGGTAGCTCCTGATATAGAGAAAATTTGCAGATATATGTCAACAGTAAAATTACAATCCTCTCTTCTGTGAACGAGCACGCCTCTGTTTCAATCTTCTGCTTTAAGCAGAAGCAAGGAACCCCTGAGGGTGTCTGCCTGGTGATTTGCACTGAGAAATTAATCATGCCCTGAAATTACAGCTAAGCAGTGTGCAGGGAATTCCTAACCTATAGCTCCTTATTTCAAAGGAGAAATTTATGCTAAGCCTGAAATACTCATGTTTAATGGTCTTTTTCCGGAGTTCAAGCACGGAGCGATGAGAGTAGAAAGCTGAAAAGTGTAGTGCATTAAAATTATCAAAAATCAGAGCAGGAACAAGTCTATGGCTGTAAGGCAACACCTATTCTGCAAGACAGTGAAAAGGACCACAGAAATTCCTTCAGAAGAGACTGACACTCAATCTTACATTTGTCTGGTAAACTAGGGAGTTGCTGTTATTTCTCTTTAGGTCACACTACTCATTGATTATGACTATGTTGTATAAATGAGGTGTTTATTGTATAAATGAGCAGAGCCAAAGGATTTGTACCTTGTTCTATATGACTTAGAACATAAGGCCCAGTGCTGAGGGAATGATGGCATGTTATCAGTTCTGCCTGTGACTTTCAAAGAAGATGAGTATAATAACTAAAGGGAACTGAAGAGCCATTAAATCCAATGTGCACCCACAGGGGAAAAAAAAAGAGATTAAATCTTGTTCTTTTTAGTACAAGAAATGGATCCCAAATGTATAGAAACTCTCTTTTTCATAGATAGGTAACTAGTAAAACACCTGTAAGTAAAAATCATTGCAGTATGAATAGAGGGAGGGGGAATAACAATAGAATACTTACTTCTAATAAAATATTGAATTATATGACATTTACAGTGTTTATTAGAAAATAGTTCTGTGTGTTACTTCTAATTAAATATTGTTCTTAATGGAATAAAACTGCAGCCTTCATGGAGCTATGTAGCTGGTGGATATACTTAAGCATCTTTCTTTTTATTTTTGAGATGAAAGGCTGAAAATATAGAATGTTAAGTTATTAATGTCAGAAAATGCACCTCAGTTATAAAGTGACTTCAGAAAGTATAGCTTCTAAAGTAAATCAGCAGGTAAGTTATGGGTTAAGTTCTCTTTCTTGAGTTCAAAAAGTTGGTTGTAGTTGGAAAAGAATACTGTGTAATCAAGCTCATGTCATTTTTCATCACTTTGCCAAGAATACAAACATTTCTACCAAGGATGTGTTGAACTTGATGGTGTGGAAGTTACACAAGAAATAAAACTGCTCATTTCTTTGGAACCATTCCTAAGCTAGCCCTCACCTTGAACTCATTTAATCCAACATCTTCAAGGGGAAAAGCTTTTTGTCTTATCTACTAAATCAAGTTATCAACAGAAAGGTATTTTGATCAGCAGCTCCCAAGTGTTTCCCATACATTATTTACTATAATGCCAAACAAAATAGGACACTCCTTTCCAAAAGAAAATTGTGTATGTTTTTTCCTGAAATTATTTCACAGATATGTGCATATATTATATCACTGTTACATATATATAAACAGAGAAAGAGGAAATGTTCATTTAATGTGAAACGTTCTCTTATCTACCTGAAATATTGTAACAAATTTGTAGTGGGGACACAACAACACTTCCATGACCAGCCAAGGTAATGATTTCTGAGTCCACATTTATTACATAGGTTACCATTTAAATGGCTAAACTGTGTCTTCATGGATTACTTGGCCTTTCAACAACAACTTTACTGTAAATTGTAACAAGTGGGATTTTAAAAATTTGTTCATTTTTCTTGCAAGCATGCCTTTGAAATATAATCTGATGATAGAGAAAGTTCAGTCTTCTGCACCTACCCAGTGACGACCTCTGTATTAACCACAAGTTGTCAGTGAACCAGCTGAGGTATAGCCACCCTCTGTGAGAGCAATCCTTGTGCTAAATTCAGCTATCAGCATGACTAAAATAATGTTTTGTAAATTCAAATCCGTGTTTAATTCTCTATTCTATGGGGACTCCAGGGCTTATTACCTTATAGCTGTCAGATATGGCCAGGAATATATAACTGTGTGTTGACAACATTCTCAAGTATAAGCAATATAGAGAAAAATTACATAACAAATTAGAATTCATTCACAGAAATACTTAAACTTGTTTTCTAATCCCTGAGTCTTAGTGTTTCACACATCAGCCAAGGCAGTTAGGCTTTTTCCCTGAATAAGAAAATTCACCATAAGTTTTTATCAGGTGACAGTTCTCAAGTGCAAAGGTTTTCCCTTCATTGGAAGGTGAGGAAAATGGAGGAAGGATGGAGGAATCTACCCGTTCTCATAAAGAACATAATGTCTGATATAATTTCAGGAATATCTTCATAAGATTTTACACATTGAAAGAAGTGAGTGTAATTTCTCAAGAACATTGGGTTCATATAAAAATATCAGAACAACCCAAACATCATGTTCTGACTCTGTCATCAGCCTCTCTGACCAACACATTTTTAAGTCATTCAGGTTTGCTAGGGAAAAATTGGAGATGGAGTTGTCATATCATTATACTGAAAATGGTGCAAATAACGCTTTTCTTTTTTTTCTAAATATATGCCAATTAGAAACGTCCAGATGATGTGCATCAGCCATCCATGTGTTCTGCAGGTTCAACACTTACACCCAGTTTTCGAGGTTTGGTGCATCCTAAGAACAAACAATTTACAGTGATGTGGAGCAT